GATAATATAGTTTGGGAACCACTGGTCTAGACCAGTGGTTCCCAAACTATATTATCCCAAAATATTCATGGCAAAAACTTGTGACCCTAAATATTACTGGTATGAGTAAGCTTTGTTAATAACCCTAAAAACACAGGCTTTTTGACAATCTAAACGGCTTGTACACAAATATAAATACTTTATTTATACTTATTTTGTGTTTTTGTAATAATTATAGGGAAAAGAGGTGCTCCTGTCATCGACTCCAGGTGTGCCGGAGCAGACGGACAGGTAAAGGGTGCAGGACTGAGGCTCTCCTGGACCAGGACAGCCCTGCAGTGGATCAGTGATCCTTCATTAAACCTGCATTTATTCACATTCAAATTAATTCCACTCAGTCAGTTTTTATTTGTAGAAACTGGGCTCCATTATCACCAGCTCCATGTACAACAGTCACTTCCTGGTTCCTGCACATCACGACATGTGTGATACAAACACCGACACACAACAGAGAAAAACAAACATGTCGGATTTTTTAACTGAATCATGATGAAAATAAATCACTGTAAGTTTTTAAAGTTACGGTTTTCATGTTGGATTATTTGCCACAGCTCAGAGAGTAGCGTCTGTCCGRTTAGCTTGTTTAAAGCTTTTATTTTAAAACAAACTATCTGTTTTAGTAGCTTTATGAACACTTCAACACTGTAAAACTCAATGTAAAACGCACAGTTTCGTTGTAAAGTGGGGCGTTAGCTGACTTAGCTCTTAGCTTGGGTACCATCGAACAGAACGCGGCCTACTGGACTCAGTAATAATCCAACCCGCTGATATTTTACAGTAAATCCGGACTTTTCTGCAAAACTCGACGTTTAAACGGAACTTACCGTGAAGTGGACGAGCTTCGGACAGAAAATCACCGAGCTGTGGCGTGAGAGAACGCGGCTGCGCTGTCCTGTCCGAGGTTCCGTGAACACACCTTAACCACAGCAGGGTTGCCAGATATGAAATGTTGAATTATCGTATCAGCAGCTCAAAGTTATCGTAWTTTGAGGGAAATTATCGTACACACCCAAGTTACATTCTAGAGAGGCTCAGATTTACAAATACATCCTGCTCAGCTCACAATGTGCTCTGTATTCAACAAACTGCACATTCTTTTGTTTATAATAAAGTTAAAAAGCACTGTTGGGTGTCTGTTTTTTTTTTTTTTTTTACAAAAGCTTTGTTGTAAACAAGAACAAAACATGGAGT